CATGACGTTTTCGGTGATGCGATTCACGGACATATGAACTAATTTCTTTTGAGAAGATAAAAGTTTTGTTACTTAAAAATATGTAATGGATAAATAACGAGATGGTGTTGAATAGTTTAGAGAAAACATTCTCTCCGAGGGCCGAAGGCCCGAGGAGAGGATGTTTTCTCTAAACTATTCAACGACATCGAGTTATTTATCTTACTTAAAAAAATTCCCTACTTTGGGCCCCAAAGAAACATTTACCCATTCAAATATCCAACTTGATGTAATACAATAGAATGTAGCCCATTTTAATATCCAACCGTGACACTAAACAATAGCCTAATCGAACACCCCTTTTATTCATGGACTAGTGAGCATGAAACTACATGGTGCTGATTTCATTTCAGTCCTTTTCATTGGACTGAACAGTCATGAAATCAGACGAAGACCAATGTAGATTAGACAGGTTCATACAGTGTTTTGAATACCTTTGACCTGAAAGCTGAAGAAAACTACAGAATTTTAATAAAAGGTTGGGAATTTGTCATTACACATCATAAGATGATGGTTTGTTGAGGAAAAATGCTGAATTCTTATGGAGTTCCATTTGGAAAATACTGGTAATAGTGCTTAAACAGATAAAAAGATTGGCGGTGTTATGCTGAACCTGCTGTAAAAAAAATTCCATATCAAGATCTGCAATAAAAATGGTGTCGAGAAATAGATGGGCTGTCAATTATTTAAGTTCTTTTGGGAAGTACGCTGGAAAAGAATGAAACAGAGATGAATCTCGGATAATCTGAAGAGATTTACTGATAACGGACCCTAAAATAATATTTAGCAATTTAAGAAGTGACGCAGTTTAAGATTCAAAGTGAAAATGTATGTACAGTAAAACTCGGTTATAACGAAGTCGTTGGGACCTCTGAAATCACTTCGCTATATCCGTAATTCGTTATAACCATATAAGAAATTCACCAAATTTATATAGCTGGGGATCCAAAATGACCGCTATATCCGTAAATTCGCTATATCCGTATTCGTACTAACCGAGTTTTGCTGTATGTGTCAAAAAGTGATGCTTTTAAAATTTAAGACCGAAAACATTTCTATAAGTGTGTAAAATTCGGAGGAATTATCATTTCTGTGAGCATTGGAAGTGCATTTGAAACGCAATAAATGTGATAAATGCGAAGTAATTACGGTAATTCCGTGTGCACGGGAAATTAACTCTAATGGTGTGAAAAATTTGGAGTTATTATTTTATTTTTCACAATTGGAAATACATTTTAAAATTTCTTTATTTCTTTTGTTTATTGTTTTATGTTTTCTGCACCTCAAGTTGGGTATTAAAATATCCAACCGATATAGGCAGTTGGATATTTTGAATATCCAACTGATGGCCAGTTGGATATTTTGAATATCCAACTAATGGCCGGTTGGATCTTCAAATATCCAACTAGTGCTGGTTGAATCGGTAAAATAAACGTATACTAATAACAATGGGTGACGTCATAGAAGTTTTTTAATCAGAGGTACATTTTCGCAAACAAGCAAAAACAAGGAAATGTAAAAAAAAAAAGATTCAATGGGAGAAAATATTCTGAGAGAAGTGGATTGCCATTAATCAAGATAAAGATTCCAGGGTAATGTACAGAACTTCATGTGATTAAATATATCGTCACTTTATATTTATCAACAAGGATACTGATCAATTTAGGAAAAAAAATCGTTGATGATTGTTAATTGATGACATTGCAATGTTCAAAATTCTTGAAATCAAATAATTAATGAACATATTCTGGTTTTTGAATTGCTTTTTATGTGAATATAGGTATATACCGAAACTAAACAAAATGAGATGATAGATACAGCTGTATAATAAATTTATTTGCTTACTATTGCCACATTGCAAATTCATATATAAAAATTTTAACTTAAATGTATCACAATACAAGTAAATCATGTATATGATACAATAAACAACTTTTATTGAACAAGATTCTCTTGAATCCTTGATTAAAGCAGGATTTTCACAAAACTTTAGAAGTTCAACGCAGTTATACGCCAGATAAAACTGTCCAAAAGCTCTGAAAATATGGCTGTCAATCCAAATCCAAAAGGGAATACTCAGAATCATCAAAGTATTTCGACTCTTTTTTCTACCATAAATTCATCCTGTATAAAAAAAATAAAACTTTTAATTATGTTTTCTGGAGGAGTTTTCACAGAAAAAAATGATACGATGTATGTTCTTAAGAGGCGCTGAATGAAGTATACAGGTACTTAATAGATTTTAAATGCACATGTATACAATTTTTTTTTCATGATAACATATATTTTTTTCTCCTCTATCTGGGGGGTTATCGTAGAAGCTTGTAAGGACATTCTAAGATTTCATTTAATTTATGTGATATCATTTTTTTCTAAATGTTTTGTGGTTAAGTATATTTATTTGATATATATCACTTCTCAATATATATATTTTCTCCGTCCCACGTCTTCAAAATACTACATTTTATATTTGAATTTTTGAAACAATGTCCGAATGGAAAAAATATAATGTTAAAAGCAAAACATGTTTTTTCGTAAATGTCAACTGAATGTCACTCTTTGTCAAAAAATTGAAATGTAAAAGATTATTCCCTAGTTAAAAGTCAAGGATAATTATTTCTGTGAATAACCTGTGCATCCTTGGATATTACAGATTACACTCTGCATCGATCCTCCACTACAGGGGGCCCCTCCATTTTGTGGGGGAGGGCTGGTACATGCTCTGAATCTAGTACTCCACCCGGAATCACAGGTTTTAGTGCAGGATGTCCAGGCCCCCCATAAGCTCCAACCACCATCAATCGCTGTAATCATACGACATATAGCTAAAATTCGGTTAAAAGCAGATTTCAATAAATGATGTATATCTCTAAATGAATATATGTTAAAATGAAAATATCTAGTACGTTATGATATTGTCAAAATGAACAATAAAAAATTTTAATCGTCGATTTGTGCAAAACTTCGTTAAGGCTAAATAAAAAAAATGAAATCAATTAACATGGAATGAAAATAATAGGTTTTAATCTGAAGCTTAACAATTAACAAAATACACACACATTTGAAATCTCAGCATTAATGCACGGTAAAAACAGCTTAAACTATCCTTACGAGAATGTTATAATAACAAAAAATTATCTTAGATGAGATAAGTCTTGGTGTCAAAAATTAGTGAGTGCATACAGATATATGAAAGTAACAATGAAAATGGATTAAAAACAAATGAATAATTTACATTCCACAAACCGAAAGAAAACATATAGTAAATAAAAACAAACACTCATAGTAAGAGTTTAAAAACCTTGGAAATATGTACGTTCAAGTACTTGACATTTACTGTAAACAATAAAACGTCATTTTTTGAAAGGAAGACTAATAATACACATAGTAAGTGATAAATCAGCAGAAAAGACATAATCTTGCTGTAAAATGCATGCAGTTTATTAATGACCTTTTAAGCAAATACAATTTTTCACTGAGTCAAATGCTTACTGATGTTTTTTCCATAATAATTGTTACTTCATTACTTACACAATGAATAGACGACGATTTTTTTTCTGTTAGTTCCCAATCATGACAAGGAACACACGGTGGATGTGACCGGTCGGCATGGGGTGTTAATTTCTGTTCCCATATCTAATGCTTTAAGGTCCTTGATCGCTCAGCATGTGTTTTATTTAAAATCATTATCTTGTTCCAATTCTAAGATCATTATTTCTTTAAATTACCTGAGCACGTCTGTGTATTACAGCTTGCGGAATATTCCGATGTTCCACTGCAGCCCCTCCCTCCGCCTTGTGGGGAAGGATTGTTACAACTCCTGCTTCTAGTCCTAATTCCACTACCACAGGTTTTAGTGCAGGATGACCAGTCCCCCCATAAGCTCCAATCACCATCAATGCCTGTTATATTACATGAACCAGGGTTGACCGACAGTCATCGACAAAGCTTTTTAATCGGAATAATTGCTCCAATATGATATTCTGAACTTACAAAAGTGAAACGTAATTGAAACAAAAATGAAACCAATGAAGAGACATAAATTAATAATGATAAGAAAGAATAAATATGTCAGCAGAATAAGAATAATTTTAGCAAAATAAATAGAATTTTGGGGTAATTCCCTTCAATATATACTCTGGTACTCAGAAAATGGCCGTTGAGTGGGTTGGTCACTAATCAGAATGGAATACGGCCTATAAAAGTCATTTGGCACATTATCGTCGTCGACAACATGTACCTACCCACAATGCACATACACTATGTACAGTGGGTATAGGTAAACATGGTCACCGAAGTCCATATGAATTCAACGACAATTGTGCCGTCACAACTGAATGCATGAATTTGCGTTCAAGAGTCATAAGTGTAGTTAACACATCAATTAAATTTACAAATCTAAAAAAGAACATCGACAACAAATTCCAGTATCAAAGGCAATACTATGGATATTGAAAATATGTGAGTAAATATTGCCAGTGATGCTTTGTACATGTGGTACCTTTCAGCCGGCTACAATATGTACCAATAAACGGTACTACACAGGTGTATGCAGTAAAAGTAGATATTGTCGCCGACAATATGTACAAAAAGATAACATGCACCGTCACGGCCATTGATTAGCGATGCAGGTTTGAATCCTTACTATCATAACTGTCAATTAAGCTGATGATTATAATTTAAAATGAAGTTGTTTAAAATTCTATTACTGCCCTCGACGAAAGACAAAGGTTCTGTGAGGTTCGTGATTTTATAAACTCATGACTGTAAGCTACTAAATTATTTCATTATCATAGCAATGACCCATACAAGGGTTTTCTGCAAAAAAAACATCGAAAAAGCGTTGTGATCGATAAATGTGTGTTCCAATCTGAAATTTTAAGCTGATGAATATAATTTATATTGAAATACAACGATTCTTTTGGTAAAAAATTCAGATTAAAATAGAAATTTAAAATACTTGAATTTTTTCAAGGTACATTTCTAAGGCACAGGGTAAATAATGCAGACTTCATTAAAGAATACGCCAATATTATTTCAAAATAGCAGTATTGTATAGATATGATTAAGGAAAACAGTTATTTTATTTTAATGCACTCACTATCATGTCGTCATTTGGAAAGTTTCAGGTCTCTAATTTTTTTCCCAGTGCAATTGGAATGAGAAAGTGGTAAACAAAACACACGAAGATGGCAACACTTGATAACGTAAAAGATAATGGAAAAACTGTTTAAGAAAATAATTGTGGCATATAAATACAGAGAATATTATGAGATAGACCTATTTAATATTTGCATATTTTAAACATCTGTTGAAACGTTAATCCTACTTAACAAGAAAGGTAACTGCGTGATGCATACACATGTAAACATGACTACACATGTACACATATGTGTTTTGTACAAAGGAAAGAAATTACATTAAAAAATAACAGGCGTGAAAAGCAATTGGGTAAAGGGAGTGGATAATTGGAATGGAATCATTTTCATATAATTAATAAATCTAATAACCAAAAAATACATTTAAAATTAAAATAAAACATTTACAATATCTGTAATATTGTCATATTTCATTCCAATAAGGTTTGGCTAAATGAGTACATAATATGTATACTAAAAGTTTACCACAAAACTTATATACTCGGGTGCTCAGAAAATGGCCATTGAGTTGGTTGGTCACTAAGCAGAATGAAAAATAGCTTTTACGAGTTGATTGGCATATTGTCGTCGGCAACAAAATGTACTTACCTTCACTGTACATACAATATGTGCATTGAGTATAGGTATATATCCATGGTCACCGAAGGCAAACTTAAATGCAACAATTATGCCGTTACAATCGCGTTGCATTAGTTGGCTTTCAAGAGGCGTTCATGTAATTAACATAGCAATTAATAAGATTTAAAACTACAAAAAATGATTTTAATTTTTTTATTTATAATTTTCCGGGGACATTATTTATATTGAACATAGGTAACATAATGTCGCCAGCGACAATATGTACATGTTTATCTTTTCAGCTGGGTACAAAATGTACCGTGGACGGTAATATAGAGGTGTTTGAAAGTTGATATTGTCGCCGTCAATATATACGAGACGATAACATGCACCGTCACAGCCAGGTAAATAAATACTTGTATAACAACTTATTGACAGGATAAGGATACTAGTAGTCTGTAACGTATAAAAACAATTTGTACTGTAAAATGCTCTTTATCTAGAGTCATGTTATTTGATAAGAACTAAAGGCTGTTTACCTTCACAATTGTCCCCGCTATAACCAGGAAAACAGCTGCACCTGTACCCTCGTTTGTTACACCTGTCCACTTTACAGGTCCCACTCTGACAATCATTATTCTCACACACCTTCACTAAGGAAACATATTCAAATACGAAGAATTCTTTTATGTATCACAGGATCTTTTTTCAATCATTCGAATTTCAACTCATTAAAACAAATAAAGAGTACATTTCAGTTATAGATGAAATCATTTTTTTATAGTTAAGGAGATTTTCAATTTATTGTACAGTTAAAAGATTTATGATACATCGAAAACCAAACTTAATTTGAGAAGCAGGTATCATTTAATTAGCATTTATTTTAACATGAGGGTTATCTTAGAAATTAGGGGATAGGAAAACTGTAGGCTTTTATTTTATTTTTCAAATATACAGTTTCATTCAATTGTTTTTAAACATCTTTTGTTGACTGTAGATATTTTTAGCTTTTGCTAATTAATTTTCCCTAGTCCTAATCGAGAAGGATAAATCTTAGAATTTGGAGTTGTACAACGCCGCCTGTCGTGACATAAGATTTCCAGTGTTCCATCAAAAAGATCCGAAACTTATCACATACCCAGATAGCAAGACATAGTTGGGCCAACGTTGGCCCAATTTTTTTTCCAACGTTGGCCCACTGTTGGTAACCTTACGTTGGCCCACGGTAATTTTGCTAATCGGCCCAACGTTGGTCCAACATATTGGCATATTGTTGGGCCAACGTAGGTATAATTGTATGACAACTAACAGCCAACCTTAATAACTGGTTGGTTAGGTTGGCCCAACGTTGACCCTTTGTTGAAATGTCAGATGGCATATTGTTGGGCCAACGTAGTTATTAGTGTATGCCAACTAACAGCCAACCTTAACAACTGGTTGGTTAGGTTGGCCCAATGTTGACCTTTTTTTTTAACAAAGTCAGATGGCAAATTGTTGGGTCAACGTAGTTATTACATAGAAACATTTGCAATTGGTTAAGTGATTCTTTACATAAACATATTTTATGACTGTTTAAAATGATTAATACACAATTTAATCTGCATTCATAATGCATACATGGACATGTTCAATGAAAACATTACTAATGATTCACTGTGATAATATTTTATATACGTCAATTCAATCATAATTTACAAAATAAATTTTAAAATAGACAATAGAGGTAAATTATGAGAAATTATCAATTAAAAGTTCTTAATCAGGGCTCACTTCCTTTATTATAGTCCTTTTGGTGTATTCCCGCGCTTTTTCCGTCCCTTCGTCCCCTCCCGTTTTCTTCATCTTGATCTTTGCAATTGTCATACGGACTCATACTTTATACACTTCTTTATGCATGGTCTTCGATTTCATTGTTATTTACATGTACCGCCACAACATTTGTTTTCCTTGCAGTCTCTGACTGAATTTCTTTGTTACAATCGTGTCTGTAATAGACAGTTAAGAATTAGATAGATAGAAACAACTTAAAAAGATGTTATTTAACCTTAACTTACAGTACTCGTGTGCAAAAACATGACAAGAATGAATTCCGAATTAATTTTAACAGTTAACCTGAATAAATAAGAATAAATATACTTACATCGCTTCTAAATGCAGCTGTATAGCAAGTGTATAATACACAAAGTTAAAGAACTGCGAACGATAGTATTGTTCTCCCGCCTACCTCCAAGTCAATTTTCAAAAGTTAACATATTCGATGAATTTTTAATATTTTTTATAGAGAATTATATGAATTTTCATAAAACATTACTTATTTGGGAAAACTAAGAGAGATAACTCTAAAATTTTGGTAAAACTTGTGTTTTTCACTATAGAAATCAATGGAAAACGGAAAATATTTTTAAAACATCTTTCCCCCCCGTGTCACAAAAATTCCTTTTTACAGGTAATATGGAATGGTATTTCACAAATTCATACCAAAGCTTTTTGTGTGACACGGGGGGGGGGGGGGAATATATGTTTATTGACAAAAAACGATAAAAATGCTTATTTTCCACCAATTTTAAAGCGATATACAACTGAAACATTATATTCTATTGAAATATTTATGTTTTATTAATTTGCCTAAAACATAAGAAAAAATATAAGGAACATTTAATCATATCCAAGAGTATTTCAAAATACGGTGATGCTTGAAACTCCGATTTCAATGGAAAATATCGTCTACCCCCCTTTTTTCAAGAGCTGGATTTATGGAAAATCTACTGTTTAGCGCTGGTATTAAGACGATTTATCAATTACCATTGAACTGTTCTTTGTGTTAAACAAAGGTTTTATGACCAAATTGCTATTCATATTGAATTAAATGGTTCCAAAATGTAGGCGGGAATCGAGAGTTAGCGTGCGTGTTTCTTTCACTTCTTCTTGCTTGCCCTGCATTATCACCACTTGTGAGCAATTGAATCTGACAGCTCACTCCACAATTGGTCACGTGAAAGCGAACGCCTAACTTTTGTTTCAATTTAATTATAAAGCTGTGTCATTTTGATTTATGTATATGTAGGCTTCATTCACATCCTGTTCCTGAGAATGTATTCAGTCTTCTCTTAATTCACATGAATACAACGCTCATGAAAAAATAATCATGCATGTGCACAATTCAAAAAATATAATAAAACACTCTTTGGTGCTGTGATCACTTAAGTTAAAATTTGAAATGTTGAATATATCAGATCTAGACAAAAACAGTCATCCAATTAAAAGCATGGACATATAATGTCAGCTCAGCAGCTAAAATTGACACCATCTTTAGTTGGCAGTATAATAATTGGGCCAGCGTTGTCCCATTTGGCCAACGTTAGCCCAACATACATGTACTACTATCAACTTGATAAGACGCATTCTTTATGGGTGTATAACAAACATCGGGCCAACGTTGGGCCAACATACTACTACCAACTTTAAGAGACACTTTCTTTAAGGGTGTATTACAAACATCGGGCCAACGTTGGGCCAACATACTACTACCAACTTTAAAAGACACTTTCTTTAAGGGTGTATTACAAACATCGGGCCAACGTTGGGCCAACATACTACTACCAACTTTAAAAGACACTTTCTTTAAGAGTGTATTACAAACAATGGGCCAACGTTGGGCCAACATACTACTACCAACTTTAAAAGATACTTTCTTTAAGGGTGTATTACAAACATCGGGCCAACGTTGGGCCAACATACTACTACCAACTTTAAAAGACACTTTCTTTAAGAGTGTATTACAAACAGTGTGCCAACGTTGGGCCAACATCAACATCCCTCCTTCCTTGGGAACTAAAGTGAATGGAAGTTGCTAACGTTGGACCAACGTTGGGCCAACAAAGGAATTCTGTCATGGTCGAGAAGGTTGGCATGGCGACATTGGTCCAACGTTGGCCCAACGTTGTTCCCCCAACGCCAACCATACAACCTTTTGCCAATGTTGGCTTGCTATCTGGGATAAATGTGCCGAGCGCTTGGTGAAGTAACAGATTCTACATTTTTTGTCCCCCGCTGAAAGTTTGGGATATGAATTTCAATTTGTGTGTCCCTCCGTCTAACTATCCGTCCGTGTATAGCGCTGTATGTCTGTAACGTTTCCGTTTGCATGCAATATCTCGAGAAGCCGTTGAACATTGCAATGAAATTATACACAATGATAGTAGCCTAGTAAAGATCCCAATTGATTTTAAGGTCAAAAGTTCAAAGGTAATAAATACAAAAATCAGTCTATTTTTAAACTTTCTTTTCCATGCTGAAGAAAACTTTAAGGCTATGCAATGATGTTATTTTTATCTCAACTCCCTATGGCGTACCAACATGTGGATCTGCGCCCAGAGCACCTGTACAATTGTTACTCACCTGGAATTCGACCTCAAATGATCAACCGAGTGAACAACAGAGCATACTGCAAAAATACCGACCTCAAGGAATTTAAAGGACAGTGCATGAAAGGGATCTTTTCCTGACCATACATAGGAAATGAAAACAAACGGACAGGGGAAGTCCATTGAAATTTCTCTCTTTAAATGTACGTATGTGGTCTAAAACAACGCGTTATTTATTCAGAGAAAGTTTTACGATTTCATTTCTAAGTAAGAAATAATTGGTCTTTAGGAAACTAAAACTGATGATTCGGACAATATACACATAACCGGCTACACAATCTTTACGAAAAATAGACAAATTATCAAATAGGAGATTTTGTGGGTTAGTTATATAGCAGTACCAGATGATATTATAGCATGTAAATATTTTGAAAAGGGATTGTAAATTTATTTTTCGGTTAAAAAATAACTACTTAATACTTATGAAGACGTTGTATGTGGGGTTGTTTACATTCGACCAGAAGGGAGTAAATATTCTTCTCTTGATTGTTTTTTTAGAAGTCGAGCAAGAAATTTTAAACATATGGCAAACAACTGTAAATATGTATGTTTATTCGGAGATTTAAATGCCAGAGTTTGTAAATTACAAGACTATTATATATCTCTGACGACGTTTTGAAACAAGTAAACTCGTTTCCAGATTCAGTCAGAGATTGCACTTCGTTGTTCAATATATGATGATTATCAGATTCCTTTAGAAAGAGTTCAAGATTGTACCGTAAATGATTTTGGATATAAATTTGTTGAATTCTGCAAAAACAATTAATTATGTGGTAGCCAGTGCAAAACAGTTCTGAAATTATTTAAAATTTTGAAATCATTGACTTTTGTAGCCTTTTTTCAGATGTATACATTTCAAATTCATTTCGTTCACTAATTGTAACAGAAATCAACAGATGTAAAAATATGATGTGCGGAGAAAGCAGACGATTTTTCGTGAAGCGACTTTCAATTAGCAATAGAAAAAGATCTAGATAGACTGAAAGTATTTGCATGGATGATGTTACCAAATAATGGACAATTAAGAGTGTAACAAACCCTGGTTTACTCGGGAATGTAAAAAAGCAAGGTAGAAAATCATTTAACAAAAGGGAAACAATTTAAATCAAAAGATAATTTAACTCAACTAGCAAACAAAACAAGAAAACAATTGATAACTGCTGGAAGAGTTATAGAAAAAAAATTAACTGAAATACTTGCAATAGACCCCCGGTTAAATCCCGAGGTATGTCCAGTGCACGATGTTTTTTTTTTTTTTGATATTGTCGACATCGCTGTAAAAATACCAGTCCTCATAATATCATAACTTTCTCAACATGACAATAATTCCTTTGTTTATCTCTCTATATATTACAATGTTTAATAATATAACGTCAACATCTTGTTAACATTGCCTTCCCCCTTTTCTGTTTACATCGTTCACATCGTCGACATTGCTATGTTGGTAATTATCGAGTCGACATCGTGTCAACATTGCCCCTCTTATTATTCTTGTTTACATCGTTCACACCGTTGACATTGCTATGTTGGTAATTATCGAGTCGACATCGTGTCAACATTACCCCTCTTATTATTCTTGTTTACATCGTTCACATCGTCGACATTGCAATGTTGGTCGATATCGAGTCGACATCGTGTTAATATTGCCCTTTTTTCAAAATCTTGTTTAAATTGTTCACAACGTCGACATCTCTGTGTTGTTCGGTAATTGACTTGATGTTGTATGAACATTGCATTATCATTATTATTTTGTTTATATACTAAGTATCCGTGTTTGCCTATATCGAGTCGTCATCATGTCATCATTAAATTTCCTTTTTTGTCTTTTTATCTTTGTAAAATCGTTGGCAACGCATTTAACGCATAAAATCAAGCTCAGTTCATATTGATAGGGCAATACTAGTATAATCTGTTTACTTTTTACACATTATCACCAGGGCAATCTATGATTCTTGATTCTTATGAGTCCACATCAAGTGTACATCAAGTATGAAGTATGTCTCTTACATTCTGAAAATGAACTAAAAAACTGATTTCCAACCTTATAAAACAGTGTTTGTCATCCGTACAGTACATGCGAAATAGTTTAAACATTGTCAGTATACAACGTAGAAATAAAAGCAATGTAGACAATGTAAACGCAATATCGTATCAACATTGTTTACATTGCGATGTCGACGTTGACGATGTCGTCATATAAAATTATAACAATGTGGACGATGTATACGCGATATCGTATCAACATTGTCAGCATTGTAATGTCGACGTCGATGATATGTCGTCATGTAGAATTAATAACAATGTAGACAATGTAAACGCGATATCGTATCGACATTGTTTACATTGCGATGTTGACGGTGTCGTCATGTAGAAACAATAACAATGTAGACAATGTAGACGATGTAAAAACGATATCTTATCGACATTGTTTACCTTGCTTTGTCGACAATATCGAATTGATTAAGGGAACTGGATATGAATGTAAATCCCAGCTGATCGTAATATTTCCTTTTCTCATATAAATCAATAAATCTGCAAATCCGGGGAAAGGGGGAGGGGGTTTCGATAATCCGAGCAAGCTTATCTTTTTTGCCTTCAGCGGGGGACACGATTTCTCAGAGATAGCTTGTTATTGACTTACGCCTGTCACGGAAATGTTTTGAATTCACAACCTTTCCATCACGGAGCAAGAACCCTACCAACATAGCTAATTATTAAGAAGAAATAATTAGGGCGTACTTCTAACATATTTTAACGAGCGCAGCAAGGCGGCGCGAAGCGCCGCTCTTGTAGTGAGCTCAATAGACTAACGTGTACGAACGGAGGAAATTCGGGTTGAAATCTGCACATTGTTCCAAGAAAATTTTATCTCACCGCGTGAAAAAATTCTAAACTCCCACTAATCCTTTGCGGGGCATAGCAACACGGTAGCTTTAAAACATAGAAACAACGTACTTGAAAAAAAAATACAAACAACGATTTAATGTAATTTCCATGCCACAAAAGTATCGTTTGCGTTCAGAGTCAACAGGACTTTTTATTTGACGTCATACTTTCGTAACTGAAACGGCTCGAATATTTTCGATTTTGTCGGAAACCTCCGAAAAGTTCGGAATCTCGATCCCGATGCCTGGGAAGTGAATTCTTTTTATTCTTTTCTTCTTTTTTAATGAACTGAGGATTGGCAGTGCAAGTAAAAGTTTGGAAAAGGTTTTTGATAGTAAATAACTGCGCTCGCCCCAACGGTCGCACCGTAGAACATAATAACATTACGTTATCTAGAATTAAAAAAAAAAAACAAGTCTACAATCACTGGAAAAATGCAAATAAAAATTTTCACCTTGCGTTTCTTATAATTAGCTACATAGACACTTTTTCAAACATAGTTCACAAACCAAATAAAGCAATATTGTATTGGTTACATTTCCTATGCAATTTCTTATATGTATATCAGTAAATTTTGGGGGAAAATATTTATAAGAATTAAAATGATAGCCTTTTATTTTTATCACAATGTTTTTATTTTTTTTCAGGAGTCTTACTTGACTTGCATGGCTTGTTTGACCGTATTCGTAGTGACACTGAAGCTGGAGGTGCAATGCACACAAGTATAACCTGGACAATAAAAATCTGAAATTAAAAAAAAATATTCACTTCAAAATATAAGAAATTTTTGTCATCATTTCAAATACTGTTATATACCAATAATAAAAGTTTCATAACAAAGCACATAACATTTTATCCAAAACGAATGCCTTCTAAAATGTCCAGCATTTCTCAAGTTTTTTAAAAATTATTTTGAATGCACATACATATATGCTACAAAAGTAACCTATCAGATATTCATATACGTATGTGCAATACCCTGTGTCCATTAAAATAAATAATGCCAAATTTTACACCCACCAAGACAACCTGTCTAACGGTATAAGATAGCGCCAATTTTTTCAAGAAAATAAATTTTGCAAGATATAAGAATATATCTTTTACACTACAGGGATAGAGAGAGGGGTGGGTGAGAGTAAGTTTTTTTAAAAAAATTTTTTGAATGCACGTACATATATGCTACAAAAGTAACCTATCAGATATTCATATACGTATGTGCAATACCCTGTGTCCATTAAAATAAATAACGCTAAATTTTACACCCACCAAGACACCAGCCTAACGGTATAAGATATCGCCAATTTTTTTTTAAGAAAACAAATTTTGCAAGATATAAGAATATATCTTTTACACAACAGGGAGAGAGAGAGGAGTGGGTGAGAGTAAGATTATAACAGGTGACTTGTAAAGCCTTTTTGAAAAATGAACATGAGTAAATCTAGATAAGCGAACGTGTACGACTGGGATCTTTGACAAATCATTCTTTATAAATTTTTGTGAGGGTTTTTATTTCAGTTCATTCATACGATGCACGTTTTAAATTATTCATTGTTGGGTAGTGACAAATAAAGAAAGACACGAGCGTGTTTTATAGAGGGTCGAGTCCCTTTTATAAGTGAAACGTAGAACCTACCCTCCCTACTACATATTCACATTCAACGGAATTAACCACTCTTTCTATAGACAATGCGTTCCAAGTGTTTACACGTTGATTTTTTTTGTGGAAATTTCCTACACAATTAAGGAATGCGTGTGTATACAATATAGTTACAAAATAAATACAGGATGATGTCCAGCAGATCTTTGATTTTTTAAGCACCACGTCACCTTCCCCTGACTTGTAATGATTCAATTTCTATATCAAGTAGTTTCCGGCGCTTATGATATTACGTTTATTACACTCCAAGTAATTTCCTGGTTGTTTCTTTTTCTTTTTGTACAGAATTTGATCCGATTTTCAGGATAACCATACTGTGGTTTTGTGAATCCATATCACCACTTTATGTAACTGATGACGTAGTACACAAAATAATACGTTATTTTTATTTTATGCATTTGAAGCATTTTTTTAATCTTTATTTTAAACGACATACATGTAGGCCCTGGTGTAAATCGGAAGGCTTGCCCTGCGGTGCTGTTCCTATATATAATACAATAGGCCAATATATGAATTGTATTAAAATAAGATAACAACCACCTGAGAGAATTTTTTTCATATATATTTTCTAATATTAACAGTACTCCACTATAAAATAACAATGTAGTAAAAATATATATACAAATAACCCAACGGTCATCTAAATTTGCTCGATATTAAAAAGTTTCTTAAATGTTAAACACTAAATATTCTTTCAATTGCTTCAAATTATTTTTGTTTTTTAAATAATTTTTGTTGTTACTTATCTATTTATTTATTTGATTTATTAAAACAATAGGTGAATATAAAGCATTTTATAAAACGTCAAATAATTTTTTTTTGGATTATAGCACTACGGGCGCATAGCCATACTCAAACTAATCAAATAAATTTTATATTAAAATAAAAAAAAAACGCTTGTAGATCTTTTCGGCAGATTTATTTATTACTAAATTAACATACATTTGTAGTCGTATCTCAGCATGTTTACATTGAAACACAAAGACAACACTGTGATCGTCACCTTTTATGCTATAGGATATACAGTCACTCTTGTGACACTGTAAAAGTAAGGGCCGTCATGGCGATCAACGACAACGCCTCCGTGTGACAATGAGCAATAACTTTGTAAAACTTTTTAATAGGAATCGTGTATAGATTATCAAAGTTTATACTTTTATGTTCTTGTTTACCGATGACAGACTCATCAAAAAGTTTTCTTATGGAATAATCAAAATGTGAACAAGGTATACGTGGAGCATGTGCTTATGTATTGAATGAATTTAGAGAAATAAAAAAAATTCATAGATATTTTTACACAAACAAGCAACAGCCACGGAATATTAAAAGACTCCATGTGAAAAATACTCTGAAAGAAGCTGATTGTCATAAATCAATATTCAGATTTCAGAATTAAATGTACGTATATAACATCATCTGATAATAATGTAAGTATGGTTATTTGATATTAATCAACAAGCGTACGTATCATATCATGAAAGGATGTTGTCTAATGACATTGCAAATTTCATTACACATTATTCATTAACATTAATAAATTCAAATGATTAATGTACATATTTCGGACTATTAAATTGCTTTTTATGAATATAAATGTATGTACTGAAACTAAACAAAATGAGATATTTGATATACATTGTTTTGCTTACAATAACCAGATTCGAAAACCACAAAAAAGAAAATCAGAATGTACATGTACTTTTATATATGAAAAATATGTTATATAAGAAACTACTGTTAGTGAACAAGATTCTTGAATCATTGATGAAAGCAGGAGCGTTAAACATTTTAAGACACTACAATTTAATGATACGGCAGATTAAACTGCCAAAAAGCTTTGAAAAGATGACTGTCAATCCGAATCCAACAGATTGTACACAACATCATGAAAAGTATTTCATCTCCTTCTTTTACTATACTGCCATCCTGTGTAAAAAAAAAACATAAAACTTTTAATTTTGTCTTCTGGAAGAGTTTTCACAGAAAAAACAATACGGTGTATGTTCTTAAGGTACTCCGATGGTTCTGGAATACCAAGCATTTACTAACTTAAAATGAACATGAAAATTTCCCTGACTTTTAAAAGTAACGCGTTTTTACCCATTCTAATTCTTCAAACTTTATCTTTCAAGATAATCATATTATATCAGAAAATTAGCAAATCTCAAATATATTTTCAGGAATTGCAAATAAAAACACCTATGCATTTTCCAATTCAAATTTGACCAATTAAAACATTTTAAAAATAAAAATTATAAGCATCCAGGCTTTTGAAGAAATTTCATAGTTTTTATGCATATAATGTACTTTAATTTCTTTTATTTACTTCCATCATTTTATCATGCAAAGTGTATAATGATTTTCCTGTCATTTCAAAGCTTCATAAATCAATTCTAATTCCAGTTCCTATTAATTAACATCGTTGTCTATTTTTAGCTTAAAATGAACTTCAAATTCTTGATATATGTAATTTAAAAATGCATTTACGGGGTAAAAAGTTTCACTTTTGATAAGACCTTTCCGAGAACTGCAAAAAACATTGAAGAACATTGAGAGGTATATTATTCTCGAAAGAAATTATTTCATTTTAAAGTTGATTTTTTTTTTAAGATTTTTAAATCAAATTTTTAAATTAAAGAGTTGCCCTTCCTGACTGAGGATCGGAGTCCCTTAACTAAAGAGATTAAATACCTGTATAGAGGCCTAAATAATGTTGCTCGGTATGCTACAATTTAACACGCATTCTCTGTAAGCACCAACGAATTTACTATAGGGCTTGGAAAACGACATGTCTCGGATTTTGATGAAATTTTTACCATAGGTGGGTCTTGGTAAAAAACTAGTAAATATGGTGTCGGAAGTTCCACACGTGCACTTGGTTGCCATGGAGACGGATCCATTGAATTCGGCCATTTTTGGCCCATTTTGACCAAATGAAAACATGAAAATTGAGAAAATGTAAATGCATATTTATCGGTATCTAATATACTCTAACAAAAATCATTAGATCATATGATAACATGACCTTTTAAGGTACACAGAGCAAATAATCGTTTATTCTAGAAATATTCTTCCTGTAAGAAAAAGGTCATGCAAACTGACATGGCTTCTAAAAATTTGAAAAATGGGGAAATTGGAATTTTTTGAGATCTTTGAGGCTAAATAAGAAAAATTGTCGTGGAAATTTCCCAAACCTTATATGTGTTATTATACTTGGGAATAAGTAGTGTCATTTCATGAAAAAACATAAGTGGGCTTTTGCTCCTATTTTTAGTAACATGTATGTATAAATAGATATATTTAAGAATAATGTGAAAAATCAAATTTTGGCAAAGTTTTAATTGTCATTACTGCATAATTAGAACGTATGTTGTAAAAATTGAGATTCTAATGACAGGAGCTGGACACCACTAACTGGTATGGATAATTGATGAGGGGAATACCCATTTCTATTTTTAGTCACAGGTGGCTATATATAGAGATGTCTCTGAATATTAGGAAAATTGGCATTTTTGTTCTAATTGGAAGCTTCATATAAAAAGTTCTAACAAATATAAAGCTTTCTACAATATGCTTTCAAAATGTACATGTGTTTGTTAAAAAATTGCTACAATATTGATGATGGACCCTTGTCTCATTTAATGGCAACAATGGTCTAAAAATAGATTACTCGAATAATTGAGAAAATGTAGATTATTGCACCTTTTCAGGCAATTTTTAGATGTAGTTGCTGCATAATTAGGAAATATTTTTTAAAATTTTAGATGTAAATGACAGGATCTGGATACCACTAGCAGGTATGGATAATTGATGAGGGGAATTCCCATTTCTATTTTTAGTATCAGGTGCCTAAATATAGAGATGTCTCTGAATATTAGGAAAAATGGCATTTTTGTTCTAATTTGGAAGCTTCATATAAAAAGTCCTAACAAATATAGCTTTCTACAATATGCTTTCAGAATGTACATGTGTTTGCACAAAAATTGCTACAATATTGAGGATGGACTCTTGTTTCATTTTATGGCAACAATGGGCTAAAAATAGATTACTCGAATAATTTGAAAAAATGGAGAATATTACACCCTTTCA